CTCTCTATGATAAAACTTTCCGGAAGGGTATTAGAGAAGCTGCTATCAAAATGTCTGACACTAAGCTCCTAAACTCGGACATTCCTACCAATATTTAATAAGCTTCGTGCAATGTTGTTACTGCACTGCATTTTGCATTAAAAACTGGTGACAAAGCGGATTAGATTTCACTTCGATATGAGAAAAATATTAAACCTTCTTCAGCTTCGTACCCTAAAGTCTTACTGTCTGTTGTACAACTTAATCATGTTCTAGTCAGAAAATCGATAAGTCTTACAGAGTAAGCCCACGTGTCAAAAACACGCTCTTTTCAAGTAATTTATTTCACATCTCAAAATCCAGAGAAATGAAATACGGTTTTTTTTTAGTGTATATTAAAATTAAATTCTGACAAAGTACAAGATTATCACATTTGTGAAAAGTTTCGTTAATGTGTTAATTGAACAAAATTGAGTAAACAATAATATGACTCTCAGATTTGTAACTATACAGAAGGTTTGTAGTTATGGGTTGCGAATTTCATTTAATTTCACTCAGACACACCCTTATATTCTCTACAAAACGTATGGTCATACTGCGATATATATTATTAATCTATTTTTGTGTTAGTCGAATTCAGCGCCCATTATAAGATACATAACGTTTAGTTCTCAAGTAGTCTTAGTATTATTCGTTCGTTGAAGAGCAAAGCCACATTTGGATATCTGCGGAGTCCACAGCGAGGAATCGAACCCCCAATTTTAGCGTTATAAGTCCGCAAACTTATCGCTTTCCCACCGGGGAACTTAGAATAAAGGCATTGTGATAAATAATATTGGCTGTTATTAAGCATAAATCTGTATTCTGCTCAACACGGGTATCAAACCCGATTTTTAGTGTCAAAAGTCGGTAGATTTGCCACTGAGCCACTAGGAGGCTTCTTATCTTTTATCCGTTGAAGTGTTATTGTTTTCATCAATCTTTAAAAAAAAAATGTTTGTTTACGGGCTTTTCCTCAGAATTACAATCCATACAGAATTTAGTTTAACTTCATTTGTATTAGTACAGAAGGTTGAGTACGTTATATTAAAACGATTTTAAATATGCAAATCAGCAAACATCGTGATAACTACAGTTAATGCAAAGTCGTGGTGGAAGAGAATGTATCAGAAACATATTTTGACATTGTTTAGCGTCTGGTACGTAGTCTGATACCACCGAAAACTGATCAGTTTTGGGAAGTGTTTTTAAGAGCCTTTTACAAGAAAAATAATAATATACTTATACCATGAATATATGTTCAGATCGGGATTTGAAATTTCCAAGACTGAGATATACCTTGTACTGAATGCATTGGAAAACAAAGGAATATGGATTAATTTGGGACACCAGGACCATTCCGAAAAAGACCTACAATCATACCTAACCATGGTAAGCAAAGTGCAACATTTTGTAACAGGTGAGAATCCACGAACACAAAGGCTGGTGCTAAAAGCAGTTGATGTACTTCAGGCAAAAGTACATAAAATAATTAAGAAGGAATTCTGCCTGTAAAAATCACGTGTACCCAAGTTGTTTCTAAGACATATTAGTTCAATCATCGCATACCTCAAGCAGCTGTGTCGTAGTGTAATGTCATGCCACCAAAACTGATCGCTTTTTAGTAACAGCCCTTTCCGACGCAAAACATTCATACACTCAAGTAATAAAGATGCGTTCATTTTGGAAATTTAGAACTTCCGATATGGATATCCCTTGTACTTAGTGTTATCAGGAATCAAAGAAATATGGATTAACGTGGGGTGCCAGAACTATTTAGAAAGAGATTGGTAACAAGTTATACTACAGTCATAGTAAGCAACAAAGGCGTTTTCTAACAGTTTAAATAATCGACAAACACAAAAGTCAGTAATAAAAGTCGTCAAGTTGCCCCAGGGAACAGTGTGCAACATAATTACGAGGATCTCAGTCTGGAAGAGCGATACAAGTCATGTGTACACAAGTTGCTTCCATTCCTTTCACTCAGCCATCGCATATCTTAGGAAGCCGGAAAATTAAAAAGAGTATTCATGCTACTATATACAAAGACAAACCAGCTTATGAATTTCTGTGTGGGCAGACTGTTGAAATAGGCATTGGGAAATCTCGTTTTCGTACACCAGTTGGATCTTGGAAACCTGAAGACACGAGGGCAACCGTACGACAGAGTCTATTGCAATTGAAACTACACTGTAGGATTATTGTCAAGACATATGACCCTCAGAAGAGCATCAGTGGTCGTGGCGAAATGGATCGTAACGACGTGATGAGGCTCCAAAATTATTTAATATAGCGTATCCAACCTGTGCATAATGACATCGTAGCAAATCTGAAACCCGCCCATTGTTAATGACTGGGTTTATTTTGATAGAAAAGCGTCTATAAATCAACAAATTTAATGATAGTATTTAATATAGTAAAAATATAACATACCGAATTGCACTATATTTTCACGTGACATATAACAGTATGAAAAAAAATCGATTTAAATTTAATATTATTATTAAAACCTAAAACCAATGAGATTTAGAAATGTAGGTTGTAGCATCTTAACAGCCCGTTTTATCAGAAACAGCTTACAATAAGACATTTAAGTAGGTAAGGTAGATTAGTAAGAATAAAGGCAGAACTTAATTAAAACGGTAAAGAAATGAATGCTACAAACGCATAGGCTTACAAAACAAAAGCAAAAGTTAACATGAAAACGTGACACATGTTGTGAAAAAGTAACGAGGCCACGTAAAACTTGGGAAAAGCACATGTTTGGTATTAACTTAATATAAAGTTAGTGTAAACAAAAAAAACATTGTTTAGTGTTCAGTAATTTAATTTCTTTCTTATAGTTAATGTTAAAGTATTTAATAAATACACTCCCGCCTGTACGTGTAAGCAACACGCATAGTATTTATCTTACAGTTAATGTTAAGGTATTTAATAAATGCACTTCTGCCTGTACGTGTAACGCGTTTACCAATTATAAAAACTGAGAGGCACAAAAGCTGAGTTATCGACTAACAAAACACAAAACTTGCAGGTAACTCATTGCTGCAAAAACTAGATTTACAACAAAGATTTTCTACCATGTAGTCTACCCAATGAAACGTAGAAATATATATAACATCTTTTTGTCTTTTACATGCACACCACGGCAATAATCCAAAGAACCCAGTAAGTACCTTGACGCTGCAACTTGACCAACCAATGAGAACGGCAATAATCCAAAGAACCCAGTAAGTACCTTGACGCTGCAACTTGACCAACCAATGAAAATAAAAACATCTTCTCATTGTTTAGAGGTATATAGTTTTATAATTTCTCACTTCAAGAAGCTAAAGGTGGGTATTTCAGTCTCAAACGAAGTAAAACTAAACATCTGAATTTCCAATGGTTAAATCTGAGAAAAAAAAATACATGTAAGACTTGGTTTGGAATCCCAGAGTTATATTACCCTTGGATAAAAACAAGTGCATATCATAGTATAAATATCCGAAGTATTTTGATGACAAGAGGCAGTTATGAGCTGAGTAGCTAAATCTTAGCTTACTCTTTTGGTTCTAAGACGTTACAGCTGTGTTTGAAGCAGATTTGTAGCGTGACAAAGTAGTCAGAAAACAGCTTCCAGGAATGTTCGAACAGATGAAGGTGACAGAAGGTGACGTTTGCTGGTTGTAACGGATTGGCAAACTTTATATTTTCATTTTTTTTGTGTGATAATGCTTCATACCGACAACAATGGTTTTTTCTCTATTAGATGACTTGTACTTTTAGAAAGAATAACGTGAAAATAGTTACAAATCAGCCCTTCATCTGGTGTATTCGAAAGCCAGAATCGTTTTCACATGGAGTTGCTTTATAAAGTTCTATGAGAAAAGCTGCTTTGTTGCCAGACAGTTTTCTACTGCTAAGGAACTCCAGACAGGAAAAGCGATCTAATAAATTCTCCCATGATGTTCACTTTCAGGTGTTACGTTCTTTGAGTAATTTCGTTTTATGGAAATGCCATGTCCTCTACACACACACACACAAGATAAGCATAGCATACAATATTTGGTACATTATTTGATTTTGCGGAAAGAGGCTTTATTACAAGTACAAAAATGGTAAATGCAAGACTACAAGATATGAATACACTACGTTGTTAAGAAATAAACCATTAAAACATTTTTTTAGTTATCTGTTACCTTTGTAGAACTAATTCTTTATACGTGAGCACATATGTATATGACCGAAACTAGTTTCAATTGTATCTAGCTGAATTTGTGACTTTATACATTCATATATTACATGGTTTATCTCTTTCTTGGTGTTGTTTTTTTTTAGAAAAAGCTACATACATTTTGTCCACCGCGGAGAATCGAACCCCGGAGTTTAACAGCGCAAGACTTTATATTACCGCTGATCTACCGGGATTCGCCTCGTTGTGAACTAGACTTTTTTTTTGAATGCCTCTTACCATAGATATTGCCCCCGCCATCTATTGTAAAAAAAAATATATATATATATCACAATTACCAATAAAACAATTTCTTTACACGAAATGTAATGCTAAGAGACTTTAAAACCGTATGCCTTAGGCCATATAAACAATGCAGAATATCGATTAATATTTATTATATATGCTTCTATAAAATAAACCATTGTAATTAATATTTTGGTAATAATACTTTTTTTTATATTGTGAACTATTTTACAAAGCCTACAAAGTTCGAAGTGCATTTCTACAGACAGGGCAATTGTAAATTGAGTCAGTAAATAATCATGCAAAAAAAAAATCTATTTGGGAAAAAAAGCTGAGACTAATTAGATTTCAAATAAGATCATTGACTTTGTCTTTCTAGCATAGCATTGTTCCCATTACAGTATGTTTTGTAATAATAGATACAGCAGATACTCTACACTTACCAAATAGATATGCTGTACATAAGTGTGTACAAGACATGTGAAAATAAAACACACACACACACACATATATATAGATATATTTAAAAATGAAGTGTTTTATTAACTCAAGATTCATATATTTTGGTTTGCATTATATATATATATATAGTATTAAAAGAACGCTCTCAGAACAGGTAAGTTAAACTAACATTTATAAGATGACCAAAGAATACTATAGTAGAATTTTATCTTTTGTACGAACGTAAGCATAAGACAAATGGAAGCTGTCATTTTGATAATTCGTGAAAATTTTGGAGACTACCCGAGTAATGTTATATTTTCGTGACATCTGAACAGTGTCCATATATTTTCTCCTTCAATACATCGCTGAGGAAACTGTAGGCTGATGTATCTGATCCTACATTTTTATGTAGAGTATAGGGATTTTGGTTCCCAGAATAGGACAGGGGGCATTGTACACTTACTAGTCCAGATCTTCACAACTAATACGCTTTGTGTATAGAACACAAACACAAAATGCTGTAAATTAGTGTACTTTTCATAAAATGGCTTATATACACATTAGAATCATGCTTTATCAAGAATGAGTATAAGAATAAGAACATGTTCACCAGTGATTACAAATTGTATAAACTATCAAAAAAACTGTTACAGGGTGAAAAAAAGATTTAGAGAACGAACATTTTTTATTCTAAATAAACTTAACTTGCGTAATCGAACGATTTTCTGCTAATCTTACTAACGAAAGACCACAGAGTAAGTTTCCCAATATCAGTGCTGTTGATTGATTTAATTCCGATTTATGGTGCTTTCATAAGTAATACGGTAACAATTTTTATTTTGTGTTTTTATAATATATTTTTGTATTAATTCGGGACTTCCGCTGGATAGAGGGGAAAATATGCAGTGAATTACATAAAATTGCTACTGTTTCTTAACACGCCATTATATACGTGTATGAGTAGAGTTCCAACTATATTTATCTTGTCGATGCTACTTGATCTGATACATGGCTCTTATCAAGTTTACATGATTTAGAAGATTTAAACTTCTGAATTGTGATGTTTGTTTAAAAATAATATGTAGAAATAATTCATCAAATCGTAGAATATAGTACATTTAAAGAAGTAAAAGCCTTTAGGTTTTGAACGTCTTTACGTATTAATATAGCCAGATTTGGTAAACGATCGCAGTGTCCCTTTGTAGAGACAAAATTTCTTCCTCTTTAGGATGAGTTTTTACTCTTTCGAAAATCAGATTGTTGTCTGAAAGCAAAATCAATGAGCACAAACAGAAATATTTGTAAAAAGTGAAGAATAAACAATATGTATTTGAAGCTAGAAAATAAATGAGTACATAATATAAACATGGAAATATATTGTTCAAAAAAAGGTGACTAATTAAGTATGTTCGCGTTTTATGCAGTTACACACGTATAAATCTATAGTCTAATAAATAATTAAGAAACGTTTTGCTAAATGGATAAATAATTCTGATATATCTCAAAAAATACTTTTTCAAACTTAAGTATAAGTGATTGAGGAAATCTTATGTTAAGTTTTATCTTTTATTAATGCTTTAAGACAGTTTGGAAAGTAAATAAAATTTAAGTAGTTTTTATCGGGTTTTATTTCATTAATTGTAAGCATTGGGATACAAAGCTAAACACACCATTTTAAAGACATATTTGACATTTAATGTCATATACTGCATTGCAGAAGAACTTAAACAAATAACCAATTGTATTATTCAGTTGATATTTTGGTTTATATCAGTAGAGACTATATGTGACGTAAAAGCTTAAAGGTGCAAACACACGCTTTTTTTTCCACTTTAAAAAGCGTTCGAAAGAAAAAATTATCACAGGTGAAAAACGTCAAGATTAGTCTGAATCAATGAATAAAAGTTGGACTGTACTGTTATTTTAAACACTGATAGCTCTCCTTTTTAAGTTTCACATTCTTTCTTCAAACCAACATGGGTACAATGAAAACATATTTGATAAAAATGTTTCATTAGACTAAAACTTCATTTTTCTCTTCCCAGCTTGCACCTTACCTGGTGGACTGCTTTTTCCTCGAACAGTTGAAATCTCGCTCAATATAAATATGTTTTTTTTTTGTAAACAAGCTTTTGATGTGGTATCAGTAGGTAGCAGGTAAAACTGGTCGGTGCACAAGTTCATTGATACCTATAGTAATGTTAAAAATAAAAGTTTTATTTACTTTCTTATAGTATATAAAATAATAAAAATCTCTAAGTTTGTCAGTGGTCTGAAAAAGTATTTGTCGTAAAGCAACCTCGTGTTATGAAATGAAAAAAAAATCAAGCAATTTCTAAAATAAGTACAGTCTTTCAGACACGCATATCTTTAAATATTTGAGTAGCAGTAAATTTATATAAATACATAAAGGTTGAAGATCAAATAATCTCATGTTTTAAATTGATTCAAATATCAGTACTTCTTCTACATAATAGAAAATCAATTATTTTCATGTTTTACTTAAGTAGAGAATATGTAAAAATACATCTACAACACGATACACAACTCTGATCATTCAAAGGTATTGTTTGTTTGTTTTGGAATTTCGCGCAAAGCTACCCCTAATTTAGCAGTGTAAGACTAGATGGAAGGCAGCTAGTCATCA